CATTCAGAATTTAGAGAATCGTCTACAGAGAATGTTCACTGCAAATCAATCGTATAGGTTTCTAAAGGAATTGCCCGCCCTAACCAAAAGCATTAACGATACTCCGTCCCGACCTCTAGGCGGTATGGCACCTTCTGAGGTCAAGGAAAACAACATAGAAGAGACCCGGTATGCCTCTTATTTGGCTAGAAAGCGGCTAGACAAAATGAAGTCGATCTCAAAATCTAGCAAGAAAAAAAAAGAAAGTTTACAAATACAAAATCAACGACAGAGTGCGCATCACACATTTACGACACATTTTTCAGAGAGAATACGCGCAAAAGTGGACGGGGGAAATTTTTGTGATCATGAAACGTTACCGTAGTCAAGGTATACCCGTCTATAAACTTAAAGACTTTGCCGATGACCCCATCAGTGGAACATTCTATGAACAGGAACTGCAAAAAGTAAACAAAACCGACGAGGAGACGTGGAAGGAGCACAAGATTCTGAAGACTCGCAAGAGGAGAGGCGTGGAAGAAATACTGGTATCGTGGTACCAATGGCCCGCAAAGTTTAATTCTTGGATCAAGAAATCTGAACTTATAAAGGTATAAAAAGGCGTGACAGTCAACTCGAGCTTCAGATCAAGATGGGTCATCGGATGGTATTGCGTTCTTCTGATAGTGCCGACATATATCCGTCGAATGTGCCTTGGAATTTTTGGGTACGCTTGCCGAAACCTCTGTCTTTCGAGGGCATCTGGACTATATCTCTCCTAGAATTCAGTTCTACTCCCAATAATCAGGCGAAAGAATGTACGTGTACTGCAATGCTTGTGAGAACACCATCGTCGGTGACGTGAGAAGCCATTGCGTGTTCAAGGGCAGAGAAAAGAACATCATTTATCAGCTCCCATACGACGTGCCTTTAAGACTGGGTGAAGTACAGTCTGTGAACGTGTATATAAGGGATTCCCACGACAATCCGGCCTCATTTCTCAAAGGGGAAGTGACAGTGACGCTTCTATTGAAAAGACATCTCTTGTCGTTGTGACGATGGGTTCGACCTACGTATCTGATCCTCGAGTGTGGAAATCCTTTAACAAGAACATGTTAGGTGGACAATTTAATCCTGGAGGTTATCGAGGTAGGCAAGTGGGTGGAGGTATCGCGGGAATGTATTCCAAGAAACCTTACATGATACCCGTCAACCCTCACGTGACTACCAAAACGGGAGGGGAAAAGATTATCGGGAAGCAAGTCACCCCCGTGGCTGCCGCAGAAGAAAGAGCCAATACGGAATTAAAGACGGCCAAGAAAGAGGACGTCCCTCACGTACCAGTGGGTACTATAAAAGCCGGTCGATTTCAGAAAGCCGTCAGAAGCAAGAAGCGCATCAGAAGAGGTACGTCAAAGAAAAATACACAAAAGAAAGCCAAGAAAAGAAAATTAGAAACACGCTTGGAGGGATCAAACGTATTTGAAAAGTAAGATGGCTTTCCTCAACGACAAGATCACGGACATCGGACTACCACTGGAATTGTCTCTCTTTACTGTGCCGCCCAATCAAGTAGCTGTCGAAAAAATTTACTTTTCGGAATGTCGTCCCGTGACCTCCTTCGACACCACCGATGCCCCCATCGAAATAACCGTTCCCAATCAGGGCAACGAGTACATAGATTTGAGACGCAGTCGCCTCTATGTCAAGTGCAAGATCCTCAAAGTCGACGGCACGCCACTGGCTGCTCAGGAAAAGACCGGCATCATCAACGTCCCCCTACAGTCCATGTGGTCTCAGATCGACGTGTACATGAACGGGAAACTCGTATCGCTCAACACGAGTTATCATCCTTGGAAGGCTTATCTCAAACTCATTCTCTCGGACGGCGGGGACGTGACGGGCTCCCAGTTACAGTCGCAATTATTTTATCTGGACGATTCCGAGATGGACGACCCGGACCCTTACGCAGGGTCCAACGGCGGACTGGCCAATCGATACGTGTACACACAGCAGAGTCACATCTTCGATCTGGAAGGACCCCTGTACGAGGACATTTTTCGTCTAGACAACTATCTTCTGAATGGCGTAGATCTTCATCTGAAACTGTTCCGTACTTCATCCTCATTTGTTCTGATGAGCGAAGAGAGTACCCCGGCTTACAAACTGCAACTGCTGGACGTATCGTTTAAGGCATGTATGGTCAAGGTAGATAGCGGGGTCTTAATCAATCACGCCGAGATTCTGACTAGAACTAAAGTGAAGATGAACACCTGTCCAAAGGACTCGGGATCTTTCATCTGGCAGAACATCTGGTCTAATACCCTTCCCATGAAAGCCGTCTTTTGCTTTGTGTCACAGACGGCCGTCAACGGAGATTACCAGAAAAATCCATTTAATTTTCAAAACTTGGCCGAGGAAATGGCCTTGTACGTCAATGGAGAAAGTCTGCCAGCTCGACCCATAAGAATGGACGTGGGAGTCAACAAAAACTACGTTTCCGCCTACGTCAATCTCTTCGAGGCTTCGGACAAGTGGAACAAAGACGCCGGACTCAAGATCACTTGTTCCTCTTTCGCCAACGGATACGCGATATTTGCTTTCAATCTGGCACCGAGTGACTTGGGAGAAAGCTATTTAAACCTGATTCGTCAGGGAAACGTCAGATTGGAAGTCAAGTTTGCAAGCGTTACGACCGAAACCCTGAACTGTCTGGCATATGCAGAATTTCCCGCACTCTTAGAGATAGATCAGTCCCGGGACATCAGATACACGAGAGCATGAACACCAAACAACTGCAGTGCGTCTTAAGAGAAGACCAGTGCCTATCAAAGATTACAAGCGGTGTTTTTGCTTCGGATACGCTTCCTGTTTATATCGGCTTCTATCCTGCTGCAATTGTCTGTAATACGGACGAATCCAATATGCCGGGAAAACACTGGGTGGCGATGTGGTTCGACAGAATCGGAAAGGCAGAATTTTTCGACAGTTTTGGATGTCCTCCGGATAAATACGGCGAGAATATCCAACGTTTCTTATTAGAAAAATCCTTGTCTTACACGTACAACGAAAGAGCTGTACAAAACAAGAGTGCCAGTACCTGCGGATATCACGTGTTGTTTTTCTTGATGATGAAATGCAGAAACTTTACCATGAAAGACATCATAAACATTCTGGTCGACTCGGGTCGACCTGAACAATTTGTAAACAGAGTCGTGAGAGACTATTATCACTGCCTTTAATCATACTTAGTTGTATATTTGCTAGAGTTAAACTTGTTGATTTGTTTTCTCTGTGCACGTTATTGACAATAAAGGAATTGGTGTCATTTCTGTATAAATGAGAGTGTTCAATCAGAAAATATCATTTGGAGATTTGATACCCTGACATGGAGGGTTGGTGGAAAAGAGAGTCTTTGTTGAAATTCACGAGTCCCACGACGTGTATGGTGGTAGGACCAACCATGTGTGGAAAAACCAGATCGTGTACGACGTCATACGTCAGGCTGGTGGCATGTTCGAGTCGCCACCCGAAAAAATTGTGTATGCCTACACGGAATATCAAACGTTATTCGATGAGATGGAGAGGAAAATAGACAATTTTGTGTTATATCAGGGTCTGCCCACCAAGGAACAGATAGAAGAATGGAGCACCGATTGTAAACACACCCTTTTGATTTTGGACGACATGATGACTCGAGTCACAAGAAACGAAGATTCCGTGACTCTCTTCTGTGTGACAGCTCACCACAGACAAGTGTCTGTTTTCTTTCTTGCACAGAATCTCTTCATGCCGGGCAAATACTCTAGAACAATATCTCTCATTTGTCATTACGTCGTCTTGTTTAGACAGGTGCGAGATTCGAGACAAATCTACACTTTTGGATCCCAGGCCTTTCCGTCTCGATTAACTTATTTCAAGGATGCTTATGAAAAAGCCACATCTGTGCGATATGGTTACCTGTTAGTAGATTTGACCCCCTGTTCGCATGACGAGTACAGGTTGCGCACGCACATCTTCCCCAATGAAGACGTCACCGTGTACGCCCCCAATAAAAAGGCTTGCACTCATCTGAAGTATTCATTATGACAATCATGAGTCGAAGAGTGAGAGGTCAGCTTCATTTCTTGTCTCTCCTGCAGAGCACGAGTCCCCGACTGAGTCGGGCACTCATTCAGACCATATCTAAAGATCAATTGACGGCCCTTTCTGAAGTGATTCTGAACGTCTTCAAAGGAACTTTTCCTCTGAAAAAGGAGACGATAAAAAGACTGAAAAGGCACAAAGCGGCCATTCGAGTTTTGGCTTCACGACGAGAAAGCAAGTCCGACAAGATAAAGATTCTCTCTAAAAAGGTGAACATACTTCCGTACCTCATTAAACCGGCCTTGCAAGTCATTGAAAATGGCACGAGAACTGATTCTAGTACCTCGCGCAAAATACCAGAGGATATTAAAAAACGTGTCTCAGAAAGATCAGACGAGTCGTGACTCCGAGGACCAAGAATACGACCCTGCAGAGAAGAAGGAGGATGCAAAAGAATCTGTCGAAGTCATCTTACGCAACCTTCCAAAGATATTACAAAGAAAGGCTAAAAAACTTCTGCATTACATTGAGGAACAAGGCGGTGATTTGCTGAAATGGAACGAATCGAAAGAGCTCGTTTACGAGGGTAGTGTGGTGAGGGGGTCCCACGTGAACGATTTACTGAAATATGTGCTGATGAGAAATCCCAAACAGGTTCCGAAAGGATATCTACAATTTAGGGAAGCTCTTAAAACAATTCACACGCCAGCCTCCCTGTGGATCGATAGGTTCTCATCACAGGAGACACACCAACACGGAGAGGGATTCCTCGTCCGAGGACCGGTCGGTCCTCCACCCGGACTACGACCCATCCAGAAACAAGAGAAAACATTAAATTGGATCAAATTTTAATGTGGAAAAACTGTACAACACATGCCATTTCGTAATAAATCATGCACTCGCTTAACAAGTTTTATGTGTTCATTTGTATGAAGTCAATATCCGTACGGTAGAGTGTCGAGAGTGTCCCGCTGAATCACTCGTTTACTGTACACTATTTTATAGTCCTTGCGTTCTGGTCTACTATAAATGATCCTCTTTCGTTTTAATCTGTTAATTTTGTTCCGATTCACGACACTAAGGGTGTCATTCGACATGTCTCTAGGTCGCACAACCATCTCTATCATCGATCTAAAGTTCAGTACACGGGCATTGGCGTGGTTGAGCGAGAAGCCTCGGATTTTACACACTTCTGTTCCACTGGACGTTCTATACGCATAATTCTTGGGACCTCGAGAGACGAATTCGTTGATATACTCTCCCGGTTTCAGCTCGCTCGTCAATTGACCCAGAAAAGACCCGACTTGGGGTTCGGCATCCCCGGGTCTACTGACAAATATGACGGAATCCGTATCAAAATACAGGACACGCTGGTCCAGCATTTGCAGGACTTCGTACAATTTCAGGCGAGCCCAACAGGTGGTGAAACTGGCCACAAAGATGTTGGTTTGATAGTCCTCTCTAGTGTTCACGTCTTTGTGTTCCCAAGACAACTGTAACACGTTTTTGGACACGATGTGAAAATCTCTGAGCTCCTTACCCGGGTCGGACACGAACTGGAAGAATTTGTCAGCCTCGTTTTCGTGAAAAAACGTGCTCTGAGGCATGTTAAGACGTTGTCCGAATTTACCCCAAAAAGAGTTCAAGAGTAGTTTGGCAATGGCACGTAGTGCCGGATTTTTTGTAATGTTCTGTCTGTCGAGTTTTATGCCCTCTCTCTCTAGATACTGCCTGAGATAGTGCATGGCATCTTCCTCGTCCTTAACCCAAGAAGGCCATCCGCTAGCTTCCTGCTTGATCTTTAGAAAAAGGTTGATATATTCTCCAAAAATGCCCCCTTCTCCCGTCGATAAGTCAAACTGTGTAGACTCTTCCCAATGGTAGACCTCATAGATCTTTTGCACGAGATAACCGCATTCTAATGCTTTCTCGATCTCCGGCGTACAAAATACTCCTACAAAGGACCTGTCTTCGTCTCTGCATGCACAAGTGGTCTGCCTTTGAACTTCAGCACAAGTTCGGCACAGGGCAAAGGTAAGCTTTCCATTAATCTTCTGAGGCAAAACGGGATGGTAAAGTTTCCTGGGGGGTAACACTTTCACTTTGACCATGCCGAAATAAGAACGAATGTCCTTGAAATTGTTGGTGATGATGGTTGGTTCCTTGATGGGGTACCTGGCATATTTATTGACAGAAGGGTACAGAGAACAGAAATCCAGGTAATGTATTTTCTCTCCATCTTTCACTTTGTAATGCAGTTTGACGGCGTTTGTTCTGCCACCGAAAAAGGATTCGCGAGGATTCAGACGTTCTTGTATATCTAGAGATTCGATGAAGCGACGTGCGGAATCATTTCTGGCCAGTAGCTTATAAAAATCGTGTTCCCAAATTTCTACATAATACATGCCCAGCGATTCTATGTATTTTTTCTTTTTAAATGTCAAGGCCAAAAGTTCATCCATGGATTGGTCGGTTCTGACGTGTTTGTTTTTTCGTCTCTGTTGGGGGTAACAAAGGGGGCATCCGTGCCAGAAACAACCGTGAAATTCATAGGCCGTGTTTCTTTCGGCGCAATAGCCGTCCAGTAGGTATTTCGTTCCGGCCAAGTTGAATTCTCCCTCGTTTAAGGCATGTCTGATGTACATCTGTTTCCCTGTAAGTCGGAAGTGCTCTTCTTGCACCCATAAAAGCCATCTGATGGACGCCATGCTGTACTGACCTACATAGGGACCGTATCCCTGAGAAGGGACTTGCGCAATGGGCGAACTGACGAATTTCGTTGACTCGATGGTGTGGTCCTGCATGTCTCTGGCCGAGATCCATTGTCCATCCAAATTGATGGAGAATTCTCCGTCCATCCGCAAGGCCGGTAACCATTCCGTCAAATTACCATTAGACCTCAATTTCACCTTCCAGCTTTCCTTGAGAAACTTACTTCGAAAGACTTGCATACACACGCTAGCTATGGTGATGTGATTAAAAGGGTCGACCCCTCCCCGAACTACTCTTTCCAGGCCTTCCTCACCTAAGACGACTTCTTCTTTTCCCGTAATAGTCATGAGGATTTCTCTGAACTTCAGACATGCTTTTCTCAATATATCGACATCGCTCTTGCAGTATTCGAGTAATTCTTTAGAGAAATCGAAAATTTCTCGAGTTTCGACTTTTTCTCGATACCAATCCATAAAGGAGTCTCTATCGCTCGCATTCATGGTGTCGCATCCGTAAAACTGAGCGGCTGGATAGGGCCCCACATAGCGTTGATTAGCTCTCGTGTTAAAGTAATGAGGAAAGAAACCCTTCTTCACTTCTGTCAAGCCAAAGGCACTTGGAAGATTGGCTAATCTCATGGGTAGAAAATTGAGCGAAGCCAACATTCGAATGTTTAATCCTCTCTCTACGTGCATATACATGATCTTGGAGCCTGCATATATGACCTTGGGTATCACAGAATTCTCGATCAAATATTCTAAGACAAAGTAACCATCGTAACCTTTCATGTTGTGTGCTAGAACAGTATAGCCTTTGTGGTGCTCTCGAAAGAGCCAGTCGCAAAACATTCGGGCGGTGTCGTCTCCACGAAACACGGTCTCTCGAAATCCACACGTATCGACACAAGGGGGACGGTTGTAGCACTTTTCTTTCTTGTCTCTCGCCCCACACATCTTACAACGCATACCACAAGTCTCGCATTTGGGATGCATACTAATGTCGACATCGTTGATGCAGTCCGGGCAGGTTTTATGTGCCACGACCAGATTGGGTTTGTGTTGCAATCTCCCACACCAGGATTTCTCGCAGTTGGTGCAGAGGTCACAGCTTCCACAGGAAACTGGCATGTCTTTGCACGACGAACAGTCGGGATTTCTCAGGGGGCGATACCCTTCTTGACACTGAAGAACGTCTTCTTGCGTGCACTCGAAATCGAAGAAAATGTATTTCGAATTGGATTCCTTGTTTTCTCTAGCTCTCATGTAGCAGAGATGGTCATTGGCGACAAACTTCTTACAGTTGTTACACCGCCATTCTCCACAGAAATGGATTTCTGGTTTTCTGTCGCTCCTCTGCATTACTTTCTTGCAAACGACACATTTCAACCACCGTTGACAAGAAGATTCTTTCGCCCTTTTTTTCTTCTGCTGATGCTGTTGAAAACAATCGAACGAACGACAGGTCATGAAGCAAATGAGACAACTCATTTCTTCCTCTTCTTTCCGAACACAATTATCTCGCTTGCAAACGAAGCAAGTCGTCAAACACTGGTGACGTGTGTGGTACGGTTTGAGACAACGTTGACAGAATTTAGTGTTCCCAAAGAAACCACAGATATTAGATATAGCATCAAAGTGAAGATCATTCGTGTCCGTTTCGGAATTATATAGATAAATCCTTTTTCGGCTATTGGATTCTCTGGGACCCTCATTCATCTCATTTTCTTCATTTGCGGGGACGGGGCGGATGAAGCGATTGCCCACCGTGGAACTGACTACGAGAATGTCTACGTTCAACACTTCCTCGAAAGGGGGAATGTCTCGTGTCGTGAGATACACGTCAGTTGTCATGTTTGCTCTGCGACAGAGGGCTCGAGCCATATCGGTCTGACAGTCTTGAGATTTTTTGTCGTGACACAAAAGTTTTTTATAATACCAGGTAGGACAGACTTTGACTTCGAGCACCTGTTCTTCAATGGGCATGCCTTCCCGTCCCTTGATTGCTTCATGCCATTCGGTCGTGGTCACTTTGACAATTTTCAGGAAACCCATGACTATGCTTCGGGCTAGGCACATATTATCGTCATTCACGATTTGAATGAGTGATTTTTTCCTTTCGCGGTCGTTGCCCTTTCCCGTTAGTTTAACCACAGACCGTCCTTTGCCGCCCTTGGGAATCTCGATGGTTCCGATATCAATATAGAAGCTGTGATCAAAGGGTAGATCCTCGTGACTGGTAAGAACATTTTGTATGTGGTCCATCACATCGCTGGCAGTCAGCTGAGCAAGAAGTTTCAAGGGAATATAGATGGCATTAGACAATTTGTCGTGGTGCACAATCACTCGACCCAAGTCGGAATCCTGAAGTCCGGATCTAGCTTCATTTATTGATTCTTTAAACATGTTTTCTAATGGCCGATAGAGATCTGCAAGTCTCTGTCCCTTAAAGGACTCCTCTTTGAAAGTCACTTGATATTTTCGATCGATGGCCCCATTTTTCTTGAATCTCTTTTCCCCAACCTTCTTGATAGTGTATAATAACTCCTCGTCATTGTGAGATGGTCTGATGTGTACATCAAAAGATTCAGATGATCTCTCAGTTGTTGAGGAAAGATTCGGGTTTTTTGAGGGTCTTATTTCCGTTTTTGGATCAGGACTTCCTTGACCCATTTGATTTATGATTAATTCATTGCGGTTTCCAACCACTGGATATATCTCGTCGAAGTTACCTCTGAATTCTTCAAGAGATATGTCAGTGGATGGGGAGTCACGGTTTCTGGGGGAATAAATTTCCAGGAGGGGTTTGGGGGGTTCTTGTAGAGATTCCATGCAGGAATGCACCAATTCGTGAAATTGCAGGTCCGAGAGATTGCAAAAACCCTCACCACAGATGCAGCAGATATGAGATGGAGGTGGCTATAAATAAAAAAATTGTTTGTACATACAAGAAAGTACTAAGTTTTTCATATTTGTTTTATTTAAGATGCAAATTTCAACAGATGACTTGATATTTGTTTTATTTAAGATGCAAATTTCAGTAGATGACTTGGGGGGGGGGGGATAGGGTGATTGGAGATTACGAAGGAATGTTCAGATGCAATAATCATATTGATGCGTTTACTGTACAACTCTTGCATAATTTCTAATGCGTTATTCTTCCAATCCATAATTTATATAATTTCCTCATTTACTAGAGTCCAATTCATAATTTATATAATGTCATCATTAACTCTAGTCCAATTCAAGTTGTGATTTTTTTTGTCCAATCCATAATTTATCATATGCCATACTCTATAATTATATAACTCGGGTCCAATGCAAGTTGCGATTTTTTCCAATCCATAATTTATAATATGCCATACTCTATCATCATTAGCTCAAGTCCAATCCACGTTGCGATTTTTTCCAATCCAGAATTTATAATATGCCATAAACTTTCCCCCATTTCAATCATTGCACAATCTATATCATACCCATAATTAATTATACCCATAATTAATCCTTCATCCCCCCTCTCCGAGTGTCCAATCCTCAATTAAAGGATTCGTTCAGTCCATAATTTACAATATGCAATTCAAAGGTACGGTATGGAAGGACTTACAGAATTTTCCACATCATTTTCCTTATTGCTTTCTGTGCTCTGTGTCCTTCCTTTCTTTTTGGGCGGGGAGAGTGTGGACACACCATCAAGAATCTCGTGTTCTATTTCGTGACCCTCCATGTCAAATTCATTTTGAAATTCCTTTCCACATCGTGGGCAAATACAGGACTGCTCCCACATCTACGATTTCAAAGTTCTGATTCATTAGCATGTTAGATTTTGTGGTGAAGAAATATAGACCTTCATATCTCCATAGGTAACCAGAAAATTGTCCCTTGGACAGAGTACCAAATATATATATTAGGGGGAGGGTATATGATAAAACAACAAAGAAAATGGTTTACCAATTTTTATTGAAAAAACATAAAAATAAAACAAAAACAAAATGTGAGCAAATTATTGCAAATTGCTGAAATAGTGGTTCCCTCTTTGAAAAAAAAAATGTTTTCAAAATCATATCATGTAAAAAAAAAGTTTAATTACAAGAATCATTAATTCAACACCTGTCTGGTGTAAAGAAAAATAAATCACAGAAATCATGTAAAAGAAAATATCATCAAAAACATATCAAATGTTTTCTGCAATAAAATGTTTGTTGCAAGGACCAACTGATAATGGTAAAAACACAATAGGTATGTAAAAATTTTTAATGACTTCATTCAATAAACTTCTTGCAACATACATTTTTAAGCAAATACATACAATTTGTAAGGATCATTAATACAACATGTGTCTCATGTAAAAAATATATATATCACAGAATTCATTATATGGAAAAAAAATTATCGAGATCATAATAAAAATGTTCATTGCAATAACCAACCGGTAATGTTAAAAACATTACATCTGTAAAATTTAAACCACCTCACTGAACAAACTTTTTGCAATTACGACATTAATACTACATGTGTCTCATGTAAAAAAAAAATATCACCTTCATTTTCTTAAAAAAAAATATCAAGATCATCAAGTTGTCATATAGACATACACCTTACTGTCACAAGAGTCCCATGTTCATGACATAGAGCAAATATCGGTAGATATGCAATAAATGAAAGTCAACTAAAGTTCCTAGTAGATCATACCGAGTTTGCAAAATTTTGTACCCTCTACTATGATCTTAATCCCGTTTACTGTTTCTCCTCTCTTTTGTTTTGGCTCTGGTCAAGATAGGACTCCTACTAGATTTACTTTTTTGATTCTGTTCCTTGGGAAGGGATGGACTGGCTGCGGAAATTACGGTGGAATCCAATAAGCTTTCCGACATTTCGTGTTCTGGGGTATGAATGGGTGATGGCGTATAGTCAGGTCCAGGATATCCACTAGTGTGAGTCAGAGTTGTTTGTACAGTTATATCAGACCCCAAATCTAGGCTGCTTGGGATTTCAGGTACAAGAGACTGAATGGGGGATGATGAACGGGGATGGGTGGGGGTTGTTCCAGGGTCTGTTTCATCATCAAAATGAATGAGGTCAGAGTCATTGTCTTTGTGCATGGACGGGTTGCTTTCCTCAGGAGGGGGGTGAGGGAAGACTGGCCTTTCTTCTATGTCACGCACTACAGATGGGTTGGATCTGAGTCGTCCAAGTCGACACTTCCTCCAGCAGAAGCAAAGTACGACAACTCCCACCATTGCAAAACCGATGACTACCAGGGATAACTCTGTTTAAAATAAATATATTCTAAATTAGCATATAAATGTGTAATACTACCTACATTTCTTTATAAAGGGAAGAATTATAACACCTCTTTTGAAAAGTATTTAGAGTGCATTCGACATAATTATACATGAGTGATGATGGGATGTAAATAAAACAAGCTATGTCTAATTCTGACACAAGTGTAGAGCTCGTGTGCTCCTAAGTTTTAGCTTGTAAATTCTTTAATTATATATACAATAAAAACAAAATGACCAGGCACTGTATGACCAATGAAATTTTCAAAAAAAGAAAAAAAACACCTCTAAAACAATTTAGAGAAAATATAAATTTTGTTACTCCTTCATTTTTCTCCATAATATATAACTTTGAAATAAATTATTAATCATATAAAAATAATATTACCTGCTACCTCCAGACCCTCAATATCCCAAAAGATCACTTCATGACTTTGGGTGGTGGAAACTTTAACTGTAACATCAAACGTTGTGGAAACCTCATCGCTAGTGGTTGTCACTCTGGCAGTAACATCAGAGGTTGTGGAAACTTCAGCGCTAGTGGTCGTCACGGGACTTACTCTGGTAGTAACATCGGAGGTTGTGGAAACTACGGCGCTAGTGGTTGTCACGGGACTAACTCGGGCAGTAACATCGGAGGTTGTGGAAACTTCAGCGCTAGTGGTTGTCACGGGACTAACTCGGGCAGTAACATCAGAGGTTGTGGAAACTTCAGCGCTAGTGGTCGTCACAGAACTGCCTGTAAAGAAAATACATTGGTTAGAACTAACATTTATGTTTTATTATTTTTTTGGAAGTGTAAACAAACAGTTTAGTAGTTCAAATACACCATGGGGAGCGATTCATGCATTGTACATTATTGATATAATACAGCTACAGGATTATTTCACCACACTGGTCTGCAAGTTACAACAGTTTGGAATTTTTTTTTTGGTATTTTGAGATTGTCCCCCCCCCCTTCAAGTGGTTTTAACTCTCCGTGTTTGCCGAAATCGAGAAAGGAATGTGACAAGTTAGTTTAGGTGATTGTCATTAAAAAAATAAATACGATCATCACAAGCGCTAAAAATAAGGATATTTTGACTGCTCGTGTCTTTGCGATTTTTTTTTTTATCTTCATCACTGGACAATCATATCTTACTTTTGAGACCTACCCTTCTAGAATACAAGCAATTTAATACAGAAAGTCAACTCCATGCCAGTTTAAAGTTTAAACAATGACAAACCTATTCGATCGCCAGTTTTAATTAAAGAATAAAGGAACCAAAAGACTTGATTGACTCGTAATTACTAACAATGTCAGCTGACATGCGAAAAATACTAAAAAAAAAGTACTTACCACACAAACCCGGGCGGCATATCCTGGTGTTTGTCGTCATCTCTATTTTAAAAACAGGAGATCTCGCATAACTGAAATTGGGTTTCTTGTTGTACTCTTAGCACCACGGGGATGGACGATGGGTTTCTAACTCCCTGATCCCCCCGAACCCAAAGTTCGCTACATGGGGGGAACATCTTAGGCACAGTTATTATGGACGATATGTCCTCTCTACAATCCAAAAACCTCTGTTTCTGTACACAGGGCAAAATGCTCCGAGAAAATGAGATAACTAAAAATATGACACTCCACTTGACCGCCATCCTGAACGCCATGCACGGTAGTGATCCCCGGATGAAGTAGGTGCAACTTTCCCGCTACCGCGAAAAACGTTGGAAGGGTGCGGATCCGATCTTACATTTTAGGATTAATGTCTTTTTTTGTAGCTTATTGAAGTGTATGCGTACAGCAGTAAAAAAAATTAAACAATTATAAACAGAAATGATCTTATTAAGGCTCTCTCTGAGCGCTTTTACAAAAAATTTTTAATTTTATATTTGTTTCATTCAATTATTTTAAAAAGTTACATGACAATAATTTTATGTTTGTTTAATTGAATTATATTTCATAATTTTTTTTCTCTGTCTTAGAGGGCAGAGAGTTTTAAAGTAAAATCACTACGTTTCATGAATTTACAGTAATACATTTATGAAAACCGGTCAGGGTGTCCCAGTTATGCAAAAAGTATATGTCAAGTTATACAGAAATATATGTATAACCTTGGGCTAAACAACCTCGATGTCCTATATATGTAACAAGTATTGTAGAGACCTAATTTTTTTTATTGGACGAGTTTGAAATTGGAGGGAAAATTGAAATGCGAACAAACACTATAAAAAGACACGTTTCCTCCCCTCTACCTCCTTCTTCTCTTGGAAGCTTCTATAACTACTTGTTTAGCTACATTTTATTACCATTTATTTTTGTGGAATTCCAGAATGGATCAAATGAACAAGTGAGTTTTCTCAGTTTATAATTAAAAACAAATAAAGGGGGGGGGGGGTTATAAAGATCCTAATTATATATATTTTCAAATTAATCTCGTTAATTTTTATACCCGTAATCAAGTTAAAACAAGGTTTTTATTTTCATTTATTTTCAAAACATTTAGACAAGTTGTTACCGCAGAAGTTCACGAACCGGTTTTGGACTCCCCCCTTCTGACGGAAAGTCAGACGGGTAATCTGATGAGGGAGATAGATGGGTCTCTCTTCGAGGAAATGCAAGACATTGACCCGAATAAACCATCGGTTAGGAGAGAACTGTTTCCGTGTGAGGAGCCACCCGTGGCTATTTCTTTGCCGGAATCAGAGTACGTATAAAGTAGATACAAGTATAAAAAAGAATGATGTCTGTATGTCCTGTTTATTTTTTTTTTCAATTCCTAGAGAGGATGCACAATCCATCGGATGGTTGGATAACATCGAGCTGCAGTCAGTCCCCGAGGCCTCAAATGACGCCGAGGATGTAATAGTCATTTCCGACGACAGCTCGGATGATGATAAGTTGGGCGTCTCAATGCCCGACCACAGGTGTGCATTTTGACGTTTCAATAGATGATATATTCTTTTACATACGGTATTAAGAGTTGAAATTTTATCAGCATATTTATCTTTTTTTCAGACAGATATTACTAAATTATGAAGAGGACCTCATTGAAAAAAAAAATCCAAATTAAAAAAGACATTAAAAAACTGAAAAAAAGACTCGCCAAAGTGAACGAGGAGCTCGAGGGAGTGCAGTTCACCCTGCATTCCCTCTACTCCGACGAGTGAGGATACATGAATAACAAAAATAATCATTTTTGACACTTTTTCTCCTGATTCTGTATTACTAATTAATCGAGTACTTGATGTGTTTTTTGGGTGAAACATATATCCAGGGAGCAATTACACCGCTGGGACATTGTATGTGCCTGTGATTAGAAATATCTCTTCGTTGTGTTATTATTAGTTTTCTCATTTCGTGGATATAGCTGATGAAATTTTTTCTCGCAATTATCTTACTGAGGACTATGTGCGGGTGTGATTGAACATATCTTTAAGCTGTGTAAATATATGTTTTACAGTGAAGTTGTTTTCACTAGGGATTTTTCTGCAACATAAATATTTATGCTGGATTTTTTTT